AAAACAAAAGCATTTTAAAGGCAGTCCCTTATTCTGAAAGCAAAATGTAACAAGTGAACCTAACTGTACTGAGAGTTATTTCAAGTGATTTTAAAACAGCCATTTCATGTATATTTCTAGTGGAATAGATGAGCTAAGGACCCAAAAATAATTATAAAAATTATAATTAACTAGTTTTAGTAATCATATTACTCATGGTGGAATTGGTCCTGTTATTCTAAGACTATTTTGTACATACTAGGGATAAAGTAAGTGAATTATTGTACTGTGTAACTGGTAATCAAGATTTTCAGTATGGAGAAAAGGAAATGAATGAAAGATCAAAAGGTTAAAAACTCTGTGGAAATAAATTTGAATTAGAAGGGTCAGAAAGTATCCATGATATATTTTACCTGTCAAATGCACAGCATCTAAATAAATACCACATGTGCATGTATCTCCTACTTAGCCTACTGAGAGGTCCAGGAACAGTGAGAAGCACACTAGCAACAATCATCTATTGTGTCTACACTGAGGTTTCCAAATATCATTTCCCACTACTGAGAACCAAGGTTTCTTGAAGAAATGGCTGATTCCAGATTAAAGCAAGAAATGTTCAAGATGAATCTGGTACATCACATCATGCTAAAAATCAAAGAGCTACAGAGGACTCCTGAAGTTACATCAAAAGTACTCAAGGGCCAATTTGAAGGGGTAAAGATGACACAATCTGAAGAATAATAATGACAACTGCAAGTGGTTAAAAGATGTTCAATGTGTTTAATGCCATGAATTCAAAATGAGATATACCACTCCCTGTAAAAAGCCCCATAAACTCTTTGGTCACCTTTGGAGGATGCTAGGAAACCACCTGTTCATTTGAAAACTGGCAAATAAAGGGAAAGAATGTAACAATTATCCTACTTTTCCTGGGAAACTGCATCTCAGGATTACCAGATGAATCTTTAGGGAAATGTTCTCTTTCTAGCTACTAAATGAAGAAATGGCAGAATTGGAATATAAACCCTTTGCAGTCTCAAATTATAAAATAAGGGACCTAGGAAACAATCACCAATGGATATTAATATCCAAAAGGGGAGAAGCAACCAGAACTTTCCAAGGCTTCTTGATGCACACATAATACCACCCAGAGCAGTATTAACAACAACAACAAAAATAGTAATTAAATCTGACTTAGTATCTAGCTACCAAGTTACAAGAAATGCAATGGCAAACATCCCAAATATCATCACCTCACAGAAACCTCATCTCTTCAACAACTGTACTGAAAAGGGAGAGGTGTGTGAGTCATAACAGCTGGTGGCTTAAGAGAGACCAACAGCTCTCTTGTGGTAGTAGGAATCCAACCTAGAACCTCGTGTATGCTATTCAAGTGCTCAGCCACTGAGCTACGTCCCTAGCCCCTGCTTTTTTTTTTCCCCCTGAATTCTTACTATAGACTTTGAAACAATTAGGAAAATTTCAGCACTGATTGGATATTTAATACTCTTAAGGCATTACTGTTCAATTTTGGGAAATTTTATAATAGTACAATTACAGCTATAAAAAGGAGACCTTACTTACAGAGACATACATGAAATATTAACACATAAAATGATAAAATGTCTGGGATTGGCTTCAGAATAATCTCATGGGGAAGGAATAGGTCAAAGAAAGATAAAACCAGGTTGGCTGTGAGTTCATAGTTTCTGAAGACCACTGATGGGGACTATTCTCTCTGTGAATAACCAGAAAGGCATCGGAAGAAGTGAGAGAATATAAGCACAAGATTAAACAAAAGGGAAGATCTGGCAATCCTCATAACAAAGTAGGCCTTGGCAAATGCTATGCTTATATCATGAAGTGTAGTGTCAAGGCAAACAAACACATTGTTTGGTAGGCTGAAAGCTTATAAAATAGCAGTTGCTTCTATTCTAATTATGCCTTCCACATCCCACTGGCAAAACAGGTTAGGGGTTCTTACAAATGTCTCCTAACACAGAGGCAACAGTTGTCAGAGACCTTCTCTCCCAGGACAGCACACATCCTGGCAGGACCAGAAGGTTGTGGTAGCAGAAGTGAAGTGCAGTAGGCAGTCAAGTTGGGCCTTGCTCCCAGGGACACGTGAGCCTGGAGAACTGCAAAGCATCACCACAAATCTGCGCAAGTGAAGGACCATGTGCAGTGACATGGGAAGGAAGCCAGTGTGGTGGCGCGCTCAGGAGGTAAATGTAGGAGGCTTACAAAGTTTGAGGCCACTCTGGACAACATACTGAGATCTCGTCTCAAAATAAACCCAAAAGGGAAAGAAACCCTTTGATGGGAAAAATCTCATACAGCTGATGCAGTTGTTTTTACTTGTGTTATTCCTGGCATCAGTACACACTTTAAGCAGTAACATTAAAATATGATTTTAAAAATACAAATATTTTACAAATAATTGCTATGGTCTATAGAAGAATAATTAGAGGAACCTGACTATGAAAGGAAGACCAGGAACTGTCAAAAAAAGAAGTTCTGAATTAGAAACATAAAACTCTCCCTACTATGGTTTTGCTTTTTTTTTCCTGCCATGAAAATCTTAAGTTTTTATCAGTGGTTCTTAAGGGGAGAGCATGTATGTCATAGGATATGGGAGGAGTAAGAAGTAGGAATCTATAGTTCAAAGGGAACTCTGAGCTGACTATAGTCATATATGCCTTTACTCCCAGCCACTTGAGGGACTCTGGCAAAACGATCCCTTGCACCCAGGAGTCGGAGGTTAGCCTGGGCAACCCACTGAGACTTATCTGAAAAAATGAAAATACCTCTGGTCAAATGTGACACATCTGTGCCCTACTAGAGGACCACTCCCTTCTAAGAGCTCCTGTAGGGTGGCTGGCTGAGGCCTGTGTGCTGTTAAAATGCACATGAGATAAGCAACATGGAAAGCTGGCTATTACTGTTTCAGACACCTCTATAAAAGCTACTAAAGCTGCAATGTCAGACAGAGGATAATGAGATCCCCCTGCACCCCTCACACACACCACCTCCTTGTCTGACTCGCACAGGAAGCTCTGAGCTGTGAAGATGGCCTGAGGAGGGCCAGAGGGGATCCCACTGTAGGCCATCTGCCGGTGAGTGCTCACACATAGCTGGCTACCTGCACTACTGCTCCCACTCGGTTGAGAGACGATGACAGGCAGATGATTGGAGTGCTCTTTCTAGTCAAACTTATGAGCGTCACAGAAAAGGGCTTGAAGTATCTGACCTGACACCAGACATACTTCTTGCATCTATCTCTGCCATCTTCTTTTCTTATCTGACATGCCTGAGCGTACTACAGCCTCTGATAATGCTGACCAGTTCAACTTGGATAAAACATGCAGACCAAAAACAGCATCCTTCATTACAGTCTATATTGAGTTTGATTTTTATAATGGCTTCTCTGCAGACAAGCCTGTTTCTTTGATAGTCGCAGTGTCTACAACCTGTTCTTCCTCCAGGAAGAAGGGGGACTGATTTAGGTGAATAGTGCCTTTAAAGCAGCATGTTCAAAAAATGCAGTCCATAGGAACTGAAATGATGCTCTATATCTGTAATAAGAAGGGCCCTGGTTCCCAAGAGCCTCCTCAGCAAGGCCTCTACTGACTGCACAATAACACACAGTGCGGTCTACAGAAGCACGTGGGCAGTGAGACAAGAAGCACAGCCTGGTTGCCGCAAACCTACACAGCCTACAGATACTATAGTGATACCAGGTAGTGCTTCAAACTTGTTAACTGTGAATTATTTAAAAGTCACAAAAATTAACACTGATGTTTAATTTTAAAAATTACATCCATAACAAAGTTAAAACCAAAATAATTATTCTAGTTGAGCTCTAAAAGCTCTTTACACATTGGAAAAATTTCCACCTTGCTAATTTATTAATAGTCTCCCAAATTTTCATAAGTAAAGGATTATGAGGTGTTAGGAAAATTTAAGCTATGACTATTCAAAGAATTAGTGAACATTTTTCTGTCCTACTTGTCTTTCCCATTCTAGTCACTACCATGTTTTAGCACTTGTGCCAAAATGTACAGGTGTCCCAACATAGACAGGACATGAGAAGGACAAGAGAACTGAGTCTCTTTGCAAATACACAAAATTCTATTTTAGGGCATCTTATCTTCCCCCTTCCCTCCTCCTAAAAATACAGAACTATTTTTAAAAGGAAGCAGCTTTACTAGACAGTGATGCAAGGATCTCATTATCCCACCTATGATATTTGCTGGAGGGGAATAAAAACCTGAGGGAAAGGGAAAGAGAGAAGAATAGTAAGTAGTCTGGATGGGTAAGGCCTCTCATGATGTCTCAAATACTAAGACAGAAGATGGGCTGTGCACAATGCTCAGCTAAGCATCACTTAAAACAAAACTGAAACCAAATACAACGGAAAACAAGCAAACAACTAATTCAAAACTAATCATCACCTTTCAGAAGATCAGTTGGGCAGTATTTCTCTCCCAATAATGACTTTTGCAATGACAGTGAGCCACTGGGGTTTTATTTGAATTATAGGCAGGCACTTTCTTGAGGTGAACTTGGCTAAACAGGGCAAATATGGACTGACATGTCCATCAAAAGAAGATACTCCCATGGCTGAGCATACCATTTGTATCCAATGAAAGGCCAACATACCTTCATAGCCCCAGAAAGTATAAGCATCCGATCAATATCAGACAGGTCCCCCTGAACTCACCTACCATTAAATACAGAAAAGCCTTTGGTATGAAAGGTTTTTTGTGGCTATCAAGAGATTTCCTTACATTGCAAATCTGAATGAAATCACTAAAATATTTTCAATTCTTGGCAAGTGCAGTATTTATAATCTTTTAAGTTTATTGGAATTATTATTCTGAATGCCTCTAAAAATGTAAGCCAATCCCTGTCACTCAGCCATAAGATATTCAAGTCAACCAGAGTCCTTAGAGTCAATTAAGATGGATCAATAACAAAATATTTAAGTATATATACAAAAATGCAATTGTAATACTTACCTATCAGCCCCTTCTCCAGAGTGAAGGTTTTGTTTGTAAACATACATTCGAAAGCCACAATGTGAAAAATCTTGTTCACTGTGTTATGAGTCCCGACTATTCGAATATACCTGAGGGTAAGAAGAAAAGAAAATCTGTTGGAAATGAACTCCACCATAACCAACAGGAGAATATATACTATTTAAACATGTAGTATGCCAGGACATGAACTAAAAGAGACCTTGAACTTGACTTCAGACCCTGTATCTGCTCCTAGGCTAACTCCAACAGAAGCTAGAAGAATTATAGCAAAGTCAGGGAGATGTCACTTCCCAGAGAATTAAGTAAACTTAGACTAACTGTTCAGTTCAGTCCTTGAATGTCTATACAAATATATGTCCATGAGACATTTACACTGGAAAATAACATGGTTTCTAACCTTACTTTATGTTTAGGGATACATCTGCGTACATGTACACAAACACAAGCAAAATCAAATGCTTTCCAACTCAATGAAAGATTTTATCCATTGGAAACAAATGCATAAAATCAATACTGCTTCCCTGTTCAAGAGGAAAAATGCACATACACTACTGAAAACCACTCTCAGTGTCTTTTATTTTAGTACTGCTCATAAGTCCTTGTTAGGAAGTTAACCCTATGTACTTACACTGGCCCCCATCTGACTGCTGATCACTCCTGATCAGAGGGAGTGATCTTCAGAGAGGGCCCAGCCTGTTCTGCAGCCTCCCTCCTGGACCCACAGATCTGGCATCTGTACAGAGTGCTAAGTTTCACCCAGCACGTCTTGGCCTGTTCACCCTGTCCATCTCCCTGGAGGCATCATCTCTGACAAACAAGCATTAACTATGGAGTGGCTTGCTCCCTTCACTCTCAAAAGGGACACAGTTCACAGGTTAATGAACAGACAAACTCACTCTTCTGAGTGTCATACAATTCTGTGGGGAACATGCCACACACTGTCTTCCTTGAACTCCATGGAAGAACCAGAAAAAATAACTAGATTAATAATGCTCTTCCAAATTATGAACTATGCACTCTGAAGGATGGGACATATTAGGTGAATAGATTTCAATTAGGATATGACAGGCTGGGCACAGTTTTAGCAATATCCTCTTTCTGTGTGTAAAACAACCCTCAATTTAGATGATATAATTTTACTTCTGAGTTAATCGCTGTTCACTAATTTGGTAATTTCCTTACATTTCTCATCACTTCAAGTTAAATGTATAATATAAAAGCTGATTTTAAAAATTCACATTAAGGAGATTATATTTAGGGTTTTGGTATCATAGGCTATTTTCCTTCAATCCTGCATCTCTTGGTGTTCTCTGTGCATATCATTTAGTCATCTGCTCCTTGACAGGTGCTGATCACTCATCTTCATAACCAATGTTAATATGTTCTCTCAGACTGGTTGTTCAGTGTGCTCAACCTCACTGCAGGGAGAACCTACTCCTTCTGGGCTGAGAATCAGACAGCAGCTTTTCTCACTGGAGCCTTTGGGTAAGCAGAAGGTTTGCTCAAGTTTCCTCAGCCCTCTGGGCACACAGACAGGCTGATCTTAGTGGGCTTGGCCAGGTGGAGATATTTAAAATAAGTTCGTAATTGTCTGAGTCATACTTTTACTGATGGCAGTGACCATGTCCCTGGTGCTTTTCTGGGTGCCTTGGCCTGAATCAAATTTTGTCCATTTCCTTAAACCCACAGTAATTCAAGCAGCATAGCATTTTCAACCACACAGGGCCATGACAGCCTGAGTGCTGCTGTCTGCAGTCTTGGCTGGGGCAGGGAGGGGAAACAGCACGACATGGTTTGGTGGAATTTGATTAGATCATTTTCCTTTTCCCTAGGTCAAGTCTCTACCAAAGGACAGAAGAGCTCTCCCAGTGTGCATGGTGGAAGAGCCAGGAAGTGACTAACAGGGCCTTTCCCTTGGCAGCTTTTAAGGTTAAATTTAGTCCAGGCTAACTTAAGTGGATGCTAGAAAGTTCCCTCCTTCCCTTTCTTTCTTTTCAAAACATTATATGGAATCAAGTTTTCTAATTTTAGATAATAGTCATTTCCCAAATTTTAACCTGGTGTAAATGTTAGGCAAGCGCAAAAATAAGCAACCTCCCCTCCCTTGCCCCCAGTTAGAAGCAATTGAAAATAAAAAGCTGTACTGGAATACACTTTACAGCCTTAATGATAGTGTTTGTGATAATAAGCAAAATAATATATACGGTTGGAAAAGCACCGAGAGATGTCTCCAGATAAAAAGTTCTATATAGATAAAGATAATGTAAGCTCTGCTGCATAATCCTGAGGTCAAATTAGCAATTCACCACTGTACATCACACTTCTTGATTGTCTTCCACATGCAATGCTCATAACCAGTTTAATTATTCTATTTCTACAATACTTTCTAAGTCTCCTTAAAATTACTTATAAAACTGGCATAAAGTCCCTACTTGACTCTACATTTTTAAAAGTGGTAACATCAAAAGAAAGAAACCATGCTCCCTCTTCTCGAGTGAGGGGTTGTAAGTATCCTAGACTTTCTCCTTTACTAAAGCTCTAGGACTAGATAGAAATGGCAAATTGTTTCTATAAATGACCTAACTTCAGTGACTAATGGTGAAAAGCCTAGAGCTCTACATTAAGCATTCAGAGATCCTGTCCAGTTCAGGAGGCAGTAACAACTAGCGGGGGTGGCAGAACACAAGTATCATCCTTAATCATGGACAGATTTCCTTAATGGAACTCACAGCAGAGCATGACTAAGGTAGAAGAGAAGTTACTGCTATAAACCCAAGAGACAATGATCTCTCTTTTTATGTTTTTTTTTTAAAAAACAAAGCAGAATTTGATCATAACACCTAAACAGGAGTAGACAGATAGTGCCTTTTCTGAGTTACAAAAAATCCTACCTTTCAAACAGGTAAAGTATAATGTTTGCTTTTCTTTCTTTTCAGCACCATCTCTGCAGTGTACAGTGACACTCTGATTTAACCTGGTAATAAGGGCAGTGGCAGCTAGTGACTTTATCAGTGCGTAGAGAGAAGCACTACTGAAAACTATAACTGCTATTCTTTGTTCTCTCTGAGGTCCTCAACAGAGTCTCAGACAGTTGAAAGATAATTAAAACTTAAAATGGAGCTGGGGAAGGCAAATAGGCAAGACTGGTCAGTTCTGAGGACGAATGCTGGCTGCGTGAGCCCCAGTGTAACAGTCTGTTTCCAACACTCTGCTACCGTCCCTGTGTTAGCTGTCTTCAAGTGGCTGACAGAGTCTAGGTCCTGAACACGGCTCAGAACAAGATGTTTCAATAATGAAATTCATCTGAGTTGTAAGACTATGAGTGAAAGATTCTTCTTAATAAAATAAGGGCTAAACCCTCCAAGGACAGCATGCTAAAACTGGAAGACACCAAAGAGTTTTTGAACAGTGTGGTTTTACACTCTAACAGAACAGGTTTGTAGTCCAGTCCACCATGTAATTAGATGAGTCACATGGAGGAAAATAAATGTCTTTTAAACCCTGTTGAAGCTTAGTTTTCTCCTGTATAAAGAGTAATACAAACTTTACAGGGTAGTTAAATGAGTTGAGCATTTAAAAGTACCTAGGGCAGTGCTTGGCAGAGTAGGATACCATTAAATGGAAATTCAAAAGTAGATTGCTGGATGCAGAAGCTCTTGGTTTGGACTTTCAGAATGCTGGTTGTCTGGCTGAGTGCTCCTACTGCAGGTGCTGAAGTGGTGCACTTACTAGGGAGCAGGCCACAGAGCAGGCTTCACCAGTGCAGACAGCATTCCGCCCTCCCTGCTGAGGTACCACAGAAAGCAGGTAACATTCAGAATGTAGATTTCTTGGCTTGGTGCTATTGCCTGCTTTGATCCCCTAGTCTTAAAAAAAGTCCTTGACCTATTTCATTGAAGCATAAAGGAGCAAGGAAAGACTCTTTTGGGATTAATATTTAAAGCCTCCCTCCACCCCTAAGCTTCCCTCCTTGGCAGAGAGAGTGAAATCCAGTGAGACTGGTCAGGGCTACCTGGTCCAGCTGACCATCCCATTGAAGGTTTTATATTTTGCACGAACTGGGAGTTAGGAGTTATCATTTATAAAGAAAAATAGCATTTCCTCAGAGAAACATTACAATACTGTGATCTAGAAATATTTTGCTTTGAAAATTTCATTACATTCCGTACCTGTTCTAGAAAGGTACAAACTCCTATACCTAATCCATCTTTCCATCATTTCCTGTCAGAATGCTAGAGTTAATTTCTAGCCAAGAAAATACAGAAAAGCAGCAATTGTACATTACCACCGTAACCCCTGGTATTCTCTAGTCTTCAGTTCTGGTGGACCACAAGCCTACTCCTGGTTGGCTTAACCCTTAACCTTTGCCTCACTTATATACTGTTCTGTTCTGAGCATGTTCTACTATGAGATAAAATTGAATTTGGCAAGAAATATTTAAATGAGTTCTCAAGGGATCAACGAAAGCCAAAATTTATCACAATTCTAATCTTTTGTAAACCAAGTTTTATTCTCAAAGTGAACTTTGTATTCTTGGGTTAAACAAAGAATACTGAAAACTAGAGAAGGGATTCTTAACATTTTAGCTCTTCTTCCAAATAGCCATAGAGAACTCAAAGGAGAAAACTATTCTTTGCTGTGGTCAGAGACAGTCACCTAACAAGAACATGCACCATAGTATTTACCAGAGATTAGGGCCACCTGGGGTTTGGCCTCACCCCTTCCAAGACTTTCTACTTGACCTTCCCTTCCTCATACTGAGAATGTATACAACTCTCTAATCTAGAAGCAGTTAAATTCTGCAGGTTCTCCCAGTATTATGTTTTCTTCTAGTTCTGGGTGTAAAGTTAGTGTTCTTATAATCAAACCACAGACTAAAGGGGGAGTGACTTCAGGTCTTGTTGCTAAGGCAGCAACTGGAAAACAGTTTGCTGCCAGAATGACAAAAAGCTTCTAGAAAAAGCAAGTTGCAACAGAAAAGATTGGTTACTCTTAGAAAACCTTCCCCCTGGCTGATCTGTGGCGCTATAGATTCTCCTCTACTGACTTCAGCAAAGGGCCCCTGCAGCATTTGCTTATTTGGGAG